TTGCATGAAGCAGCATTAAACATGCATGGCAGTACCATGCATAGACTAGTATGTGGTATACTAAAGGCTACTGTTTCTGCACGCCATTGTTGTGTGCAAAAACACGTATGTACAAACATCTGCGAGCTCACAGGCCTCTTCTGAGTAAATGAAATGGAAAACGCTAACGCTCTTCCATCACTCATTGCTGTCGCCCACAGCAATGAGTGGTTTAGGTGCATAAAAATATCCATAGCTCTTTAAACACTGCCGTCCCCCTCTCGCACATAAGCCTGTACCATGTGAACAGTATTCAAGAGGTCTTTGATATGTTCTCTTGTAATGACAGTAGTCTCCGGATACATCAAAAGTATGTGTGTGCAGCACAGAGGGGCCGTTGTCAAGAGAGAGAATGCACCCAGTTTATGCAACTCTTACTTAATCACTTCGTGTTTTACCAGTTTTGTATAGGCTTGTTGGCTACAGCCAGTTCTGTCTGGATGGAGCTGGGTAAGAGGTCACTTTCCAGGGCTGTTATCTATCTCTGGGAACCCAGTTTGTGTGCTTGTGTGTGCGACACTCTGCGTCATTCTGGCTGATGAAGTTGAATCAGTTACCAGGATTGTTGTTCCCTACATTCTCCTCTTACTGTGTAGCTCAAAAGGGATCAAGTCACATTACCTCAGTCAGCCTCATTTGTTTTCTAACAGCTGGAGGACTGACGTACCAACTGGACTGGACTGAACCTTTTTCCTAGTAAAGGTCCTGGTAAAGCTTCAGGACTTGAATTACCCAATGAATTAGCCAATAGCAGCACATGAAGTTCATCTTGAGGGTATATTTTTAATGAAGATTTTTTAAAAATAGATTGATAGTAGGAGCCTAAAAAGAAGTGCATTTTGAAATAAAACCTATTAGACTATACCAAATCAGCATATCTGACAGAGTGACATATTTGAGTATACAGAAAAAATGTTTTAAAACTTATCAAGTTGATGAATTTGAAAAGATTGTAAGCCTATGATTAATATTTTCATACTGGTGATCCCACTAATGCTACTGGCTGACAATTGGCACCAGAATTAGTTTTGTATTTTCCAAAACAGTTTCTATTTTTTTTATTTAATATTGACTTTTGGTTTTGTTTTGTTTTGTCTGTCTTGTCTGGCAGCATCAATCTTTCAGATCACAATTCTGATTGCAAATGCTGCATCGTGGTGCTGAACACATTATGCCTTTGCTAGAACAGCTATGGAGAGTCTCTATAGGCTTTTCTTGTTCATCTTTCATCTGTTCGTTTATTCATTTGTTTTTGTGTCATTTCAGATATTGCATCATATGTGGAATAGTATGGCAATGTCTAAGGCAAGACAGGCAAGAGACAAAAAAAGAAGTGGTGGTGGGGGGATAGAAATGGGGGGATAAAAACAAATACCAATGTACAATGTATCACCAACTGGTGCACCTGTAAGAGACAAAGGAAACTCCCAAACAAACATACAGCACCTGGAACACACACACAAAAAGAAAAAGCACAGATACATAAATCAACAATCTTCTTATAGTGTGTGTAAGAGAAAGAGAGAGCGAGTATGAGTGAGTGTATGAGAGTGTCACAAATGTACTTAACGATGAGGGTGGGAAGCCTGCAGCGTAACCTGTAATGACCACCACCACAAATTGAAAGCGACTGACGTTTTGTTTTTAATTCAGTTTAGTTTAATTTAGATTACAGTTTGGATTTTTGTAGTTTTGTTTTAGTTTTAGTTTGTTAGTTATAGTCTTTTTATTATTATTACAGTATTACTATAAGAAGGACATATGTTAGGGGCAAGATTTAGATAAATCCACAGGTATTGCTACAGGTATCGCTAATTTTTATTTTAGTTAATTCAATTTTACATATAACTGTAACTGCAGCAATATACTACTAATACAGTTATGTTTTATTGTTGAAGCACCAGTCTTCTTGTAGAATGAAATATCTCACTGGGTACATCGCATTTATTTTGTCCAGGTACGATACTTGGTGCTTAGAGACACACTAATCATAGACTGTACATAAAAGATGCATTTAAGCCTTTTTTCCATTAGTACCTACTCGGCTCGGCCTGAGGCGGCTCGAAGTGGCACGATTCACCTTGACTCATATTCCATGAGAATCGAGTACCAGCTAATGGTCATTATAGCAATGCGAAAAGGCATCCTGTGACGTAATAGTATGCTACATGAATGCCACAACAAAGGTGGACGTCGAGGAGACGATATACCTGCTGCTCCATCTGTGGCTTGTAGTTAGACTCGAGGACCACAGCGTTGTCTTTTGTAGCCATTTCCCTCATTGCCGGGTTGCGATTTTCGTGAAGGAGATGCTCTCATGACTCATCAAGTGACCCCTCTGACCAGCCAATCGTTGGTATGCAGTCTGCTGACGTCTTTTTGAATCGGTCGGAATCCCGGCAGAGAAGGTTCTGAAAGAGAACTTGGTACCAGGTGCTAACGTATAAGGGTCTTTAGAGTTGAGTTGACCCTTTTCGCTGTCACCATCTTGATATTTTGAAACCAGATGTGATGAGTGAGGGGTGGATCTGACTCAGAAACCAAGGGGCACTGCAGACTCACACAGCAGTGTCTAGTCCACAACAAGGTACAGTTATGGAGCTCAAACTACCCCACTGACATCCTTAAATATGTATGAAGGTACAGCTTCAACTGCTGGATCAAACCATAAAATTCTTCCTGCTGCTGACTGCTTATGAGAATTTGATTAACCCAGAACCTGTTTCTTCCTATTCATGATTAGAACGATCAGTGCCAGCTCATTGTCACTTGGTGTTGACTTCATTTGTTTGATATTACGAGTTTTTTTGAGGATACAGTTTTTGCAAAAGCAATGCTTCCCTTTTATTTGTAGAAGCATATAATGGGCTCTTTTGAGGACATTTCTTATCATTGTTATGCTGATGATATTCAGTTGTACGTTTCTTTTATGTCCGAGGATTTATCTGAGCTTCAGCGTCTGAATGATTGCTTAGATTTGATCAAACGTTGGATGGCTGCAAATTTCCTCCAACTCAACGAGGGGAAAACCGAAGTCCTCTTATGCGCCCCTTCTATCGCAGATAGTGAAAGCCCTTGGTCCTCTCTCACTTTATGTTAAATCCTCTATCAGGAATTTTTGTCACCTTTGACTCGAGTCTCACATTGGATGGGCATGTGAAATCTCTGGTTCGGTCTTGTTTTTATCATTTAAGAAATGTGGCTAGGCTAAGCCCGGTTTTATCTCGCTCTGAACTTCAGATTGCTATACATGCTTTTATTTTGTCACGCTTGGACTATTGTAACTCGTTGTTTATGTGTCTAAGCAAAGGTTCTCTGGATCGTCTGCAGGTTGTGCAAAACGCTGCAGCTAGACTTTTGACAAAATCCTCCAAGTAGTCACATGTGACACCGTTATTATCTCAGTTACAATGGCTTCCTGTTAAATTTAGAGTTGATTTTAAGATCCTGGTCTTGACCTACAGAGCTGTGCACGGACTGGCACCTGCCTACATCTTTGATCTGCTACAGCCCTATGTCTCTAGCAGGTCTCTGAGGTCATCTGATCAGGGCTTGCTTGCTATAAAAAATACTAAGAGGAGGACTAAGGGTGATAGAGCTTTTGCCACTGTGCCACTCCAAGTATTAAGAACTGTGGACTCAGTAGCTGTTTTTAAAAAACAACTCAAAACTTACCTTTTTAAAACTGCTTTTGGTTAATTTTATGCCCGTTTTATTTTCTCTTTTTAAATCTTTTTATGACTTGTAATCTTATGTGCAGCACTTTGTGATTCTGTCTTGAAAGGTGCTATATAAATAAGAATTTTTTTATTTATTTATACAAAAACGTATATAATAAGTTAACAAGCTTGGTTATCATAGATAGGCTCTAGTTGCCAAATAATTATGTAAGAAAAAAACCCCTAAAGTGCCGTAAATGTTTCAAGAGGTTCAGTCATGAATCAACTGAAGTGATGCTTCACTGTTATAGTGGCTGCAGCTGCCTGTGTTGGTCTCAACCTGCACATTGCTCAGTGAAGCAAACAGGTTGTTTATGCAGTTTGGAGAATAATAATCCAGGTTAGCTTGCTAATAGTAACACTAGTGTTTCTTTTACAGCATTTAGCTGCAGGCAGGCTGTCATATCTCACTTTAATATGAGATTTAAAATGTTTTCTTTGTTTATATGACTGTAATTCAAGTCTGCAGGGCTCCTGTGAGGTTTCACATCTTCCAAAACCCTTGGTGTCCTGACAGTTGAAACTGTGACGATTTGGCAATAATAATGGCACCGATCTATGGTTGACAATTTAAAAGGGTATCTATTAGCAGGCCCTATAAGGGCTGGATGTTTAGCAGAGGTGTAGCAATGGCATGGGTTAGAATATCAGAGGGGGTGCCAGTGAAAGCTTGGGACTTCCTACAGCTGCTTGTACAGGAAGAAGTAGATATTCCTACTCCTTCCTCTGCAGGCAGGTTATTGGGGGGGGATGGATATCTTCTCCCACAGAACTACAGCTCCTTTGTCTCAAACCCCAAATCCTCTAATCTCTTGTGTCTTCTATCAGGTGGGTTTTGGCATCGTCTCCTCCTCTGACAACACTACACTCCCCGGTTCTTTCCTGAAACATTCACACGAACTGCAAAAAACCCAAAACAAAACCAAAAAACCCCACCACCTCTAAACCAGCGCACTGAAAACACTGGTCAATTATGTGTGTACATGAGGGAGAGGAACAGAAATGGCAGATGCTGCTTCTATGCCATTAACTTAATCTTTCGGCAGCCCACAGCAATTATGCCATTAACAGCCTCCCCTCGAAACGTAACAGTTTGTTTCATAACATCGCAACAGCGTGATTCATATATATATGATTCATGGTGTTAAAAAGATGAAGAGGCCTCGAGAAGCTTTGGTTACATAAAACCACCGTTTTTTGTTTTATTTCTCACCTCTTCTGTACACAACATAAACAAGCAAACACACAGACACAGCCACCCACACACAGGTCATAAGAAAATATACAAAAAATATGGCTGTTTATATGCCATGCGGGCTGAGCACTGATAATACAGTGGAATGATAAGGGAAGATGAATTATTCGTCGTCGTCTTCCTCGTCTTCTTCGTCGCTGATGACATACTTCTTTGCCTTTTTGGTGGCCGTTTCCTCGTCATCTTCTGCCTTTCTCTTGCCTGATCCCTCGCCCTCCTGTGACAGAGTACATACAGCGTTCAGTTACACTTCAACAGTGAGTGCAGAAAAGCTTTCCTGCTCTGAAGAGTCTAGCTTTTGCTGTCCTGCTTAGTTACAAAGGATAATGAGAAAAGTTGGCTTTTTTTCTACACGGTGTCCTGCCTCACACCGCCCCCTGTCTGTCAACCACATCACTGCACCTACCTCGTCACTGTCCAACTTCTTAGCCTTCATCAGCCTCTGGGCTTTATCGTCATCAGAACCTTCATCACTGTCTGATGAGTAGATCCTGGCTCGCTCCTCTGTACGTGAGGCAGAAAGAGAAGAGCGTGTGCATCAGGCCTCTGTGACTCCCAAACACGTCTCAACATACGAGGAAAAAAAATTATAGAAACAAAACGACAGCAGTCAATGTGAAACGCAGTCATCCTCACCTCTCAGGCCACTTCCACCCTTATACTTGCTCTTGATGGCTGCGAGGCTGATCGCCTCCTCGCCCTCTTCCTCGTCGTCATAGCGATCGGGCTCCAGGTAGCTGCTGCTCAGGCCTCTCTGATGCTGCTTCTCCCTTATCCTCCTCTGCTGGGACTCCCTGCGGATGGAGGCTCGCAGCCGCTCCTCCTCTTTCTGCCAAGACAGACCCGAGTGGCGAGTTTATACAAAATTCATTTCAAGGCATTTCATTTCTAGCTGCTTAGTTGTTAATTGTTTTTCCCCAAACACACTGAGAAAAAAGGTCGCTTTTTATGTTAGGTGTGGGAAAAGTCTAATTAATTTCCCTTTAAAGCAATAAGCTGGCCTTGTTGGAAAAAAACAATAAGAAATGAGCCTATTATTCGTTTTTGCTCTAAAGTACATTTACCCTGCTTGTTGTTCTGTTATTCCTATAACATGACAATTCCTCACTGGAATAAACAGAATTAGCTGTCCTACAATAAAAGGACAACTGCAGGCAGAGTAAGGACAAACGAGAGAAAGGGTAATTACTTTCTAAAACATTTGCCCTCCTGCCCATTTTAAGTTTGACAATCAGCTAGTGCCAGTTAGTCAAAAATGTGCTTCAATAACCTTTAACTTTAAACAGGAACACACGCTTACTCAGTCTGAACATTATTAGGCATCTACAATATGTCTATAGCAAACCTTACTATCAAAAGAGCCGTTTTTAAGCAATTCTTGAACCCTCAAAAAGCATATTTGAGTCTTGATGTTCCTACTTATTTAAGCTACCTGCCATATGTTTGCGGTGGCAAAAGAATTTCCCAGCTTTCACAGAATAAAGTGTCTACTGTGTATAACTTAGCCCATCAGTATTACTAATATATCTAAATACTTCAAATCTTTTACCACATGTGACTACTCTTCATGATCATCATGATTATTTAGTGCTTTAACTTTGCATTTTCATTACAATAATACTGTGTTTTCTAATCTAATCAAATTCATTTATCATGTTCTTATTTTTATTACCAACAATGAAACAATTGTGAAGAGAGGGAAAAAAACCCATTAGCTTGTTTCAGCATACTTTGAAACAGAAGCTTGACTTGGGTAACTATAAAGCAACGCTGTTTACTTTGAGTCCTACCTGAATCCAATCAAAAGGAGGCTACTTTGATAGTAAATAAAAAATATAACAGTCTAATATCTTTTAAAAAAAATAGTGAAAGCAAATAAAATAAAGTTTCAATTTGATTTTGACTAAAGCCAGCAGTGTTGGTGGTAAAGCAAAGTATTCCTTATCCATTTTTCCTGCATGGATCTCCAGAGCCACAGCTTCAACACCCCATGGGCTTTAGAGCAGGAGTGGGCAGTTAATGTGGGTACACGACAACCTGTGGCCCCCTCTGCCCACCATTGCTCTAGAAATCTACACATTGCGCAGCTACTGAAGCTCCCATTATGATTAGCTTTGACTGTCTGCCCAAAGGCTAGATCAGTGTCAGAATTATGACACTGCAGAGGCGATTAGAAACTGTGGAAACTTAAAAGACATTTAAAACCTATAAACAAAGACTGTGCTGTGGGCTACTGGTGTTTTTTGTACTTTAGTGCAAGCTTAAGGCTTTCTGTCGCCAATTACCACCCATTTCCACATCTACTACATTTTAGCTGCTCCTACCACATCTAACAGATGTCATGCTTTTTCTTAAAAGTAAAGCAGCCTGATTTCAGCCGCTGGTACTGAAACAGCCTGTTTGGGCTGTTTGAGGCACAACAGAGGGAAGGACCTATGAAGTGTACTGAAATTACACCTGAAATCCACATTCTGTGGAAATGTGAGACTGGCATACACTTGTATAAAGGCACGGACCCTTGTTGCTGTTGAACTGTAATTATGATAACTTAAGAACCACCAACTGGGAGTACTAACTACAAACAATGGGGGAAGCGTAATTGATGTCTAGTATTTGGGCGTCTATTGTTAATTATTCAAACTCGCACAATCCCCACTGATGCACATTAGACGTCATCATGCAGGACACGAGTGTTTAAAATACAAAGAGACAAATGTGTGTTTATATGTTTTAAAAGCCATTTTAAGGTAATGCTGCACAGTGAAGAACAATGTAATCTGCAGTCTTTCTCGAGCCGACAGTAAACGCATCACCAGAACTCTAGACTGGTTGACTCAGTTTCCATTTCACTCGCCACTGTGTGACCACATTATGCAAGCATGTCAGGTTATGTTATTATGTAAGCAGCCATGGTGCCTGTCAACAGCTGACCTCATCTCACTCTTCCGGTCTCTGTGGTAACAAAAGAATTCCCACACTGGATGGCTCGTGCTACCTTGATCATTTCATTGCGATGGGACTCGGGATCTCGTCCAGCCATGGGAAGGATTCTGATCTTCTGTGTCTTTGAGCAGCGGTCAGCCAGAGACAGGGTCATCTTCCTGTGGGTGGCGCTGTCTGTGGAGTGGGGTCTGGAAGTGCAGAAAAAAACAACCTGAATAATAACATTTCCCCAGTACGTCTTCATAAAAGTGCATCTCTTAAGAGTGGGAGGTTTTCACACATTTTTTCCCTTTTCTTCTTTAACACATAGATCACACCTCTGTGTTGCAAACAGGCAGAAAGAAAAACACAGTATCGACTGCCAAACCTGTTTTAGCCCACACTCATTAAATCTACCTTGTGGAGTTTTTAATATCGCACGCTTTATTTCTATCTTGGGCAAACACATTGCACACAGGGCATGTTAAGCATATCCCTGCCAGTAATGTAATGCAGAAGGAAACTAAAGCACAAGCTAATTTATTGCTAACTGTCATCTTTATTAGGTCATGCAGCATCAGGTACATGCTGGTCTTTATATTGCCCTGTGCTTTCACACATTTCCATGAGCTCCATATAGAGATTAAAAGTTGCACTGAGAACCTCTGATGTTATTTTGTGATGTCTTGCTAATAAGAAAGAGACTCCCACTCTGCTGCTGTGGAATCTCTGTTCATAATGATTCACAGCTACACAGCAACAAGCACTGAGAGTAGGTGTGGATTAAATAAAACACAATAAAATATAAAACAAAATGCGCCATTTTCTTATGTACACCTGTTTGACTGTTCCCTAATAGAAATATATGATCAGCCAATCACGTGGCAGCAACTCAGAGCATGGTCAAGATGAGCTACTGAAGTTCAATCTGAGCATCAGAATGAGTAAGAAAGGTGATCTGAGGGGAACTCTGAATGTGATATGGTTGTTGGTGCCACACGGGCTGCCTGACTATTTCACAAAGTGTTGATCTGCTGGATATTTCCCACATAACCATCTCCAGAGTTTACTGGGAAAGTTTATAAAAAGAGAAAATATGCAGAAGAGCATCTTTGAACGAATATCACATAAAAACCTGTAAGCAGCAGCTACGGCAGCAAAAGACCACACTGGGTGCCGCTCCTGTGAGCTAAGAATAGAAACCAGAGGCTACAATTCACCTGGGTTCACCAAAATTGAGCAACAGAAGACAAAAACACTGCCTGATCTGATGAGTCCAGATTTCTCCTGTGACATTCACATGGCAGGTTCAGAATTTGGCATTAAATTCATGAAAGCATGGATCCATCTGGCCTTATATCAAAAGTTCAAGGCGCTACTGGTGGTGGTGTAAAGGGGTTGGGCGCACGTGTACCCCATAGAGTACCAACTGTGCATCACAACACCAAAGCCTATTTACTACTGCTGCTGACCGTGCCCAGTCCATTAACACTATAGGGTACCCATCTTTTAATGGCTCCTTCCAGCAGCATAACACACCATGTCACAAAGCTAAACTCATCTCAAGCTGTCAGGTCAATATGGACCAAAATCTCAGAGGAATGTTTCCAGCACCTTGTTGAATCTCTGCCACAAAGAATTAAAGTAGCTCTGATGGCAAAAAGAGGTCTAATCCAGTACTAGCAAGATGTACCTAGCAAACTGGCTGTTGAGTGTAAATGTGGTCTCATTAAGTAGGCGTACATGGATGTAAACAATGCTGGCGCATTAAAAAGCCCCCAATTCTAAGCCAGGTATGACGTAACAAATTCATCAATTATGTCTGCTTGATTAAAAGAACACACTGTGTTCGTTTGACTTCACCAAAGACATCTGTTGTTGTCGAGTGTCTCACGTTATTAGATCCCCAACAATGTTCTTACAATACAAACATTAACTGCTGGCCTCAGCTCCCTCATTTAATGATGACTTATGAAAATATCACCACAAATATAATCTATGCATTTATTAAAAATGCATTAAATTTAACACAAATCACTCACGATGCTGAGACCACTCGAAGCTGTGAATGACAGTCATGTGTCTGTTTGGCTTATTTAAGAAAATGTATTTATCTGTAACCTTAAGTTCACTGTCGTATCACATGACCTCGTGAATGAAGAAGTCTTGTCATACAGTATGTTCTTTAGGTGCTCACATTTTTTTTTTTTAAAACGTGAATTTTCTGGCTTTAAAAGAGTTAAAGGTGCTTTTAAAAGGAAAATAAAAGCATTGTAACCATCTGCACGCTGAGCAGTTCTAATCCTAATCAAAACTCAAATGTTAATGCTCCAAGGGAACAAACCGTAATAATGTTCTGTTTGGGAACACGGAGGCCTGTTGCACACTGAGGCAGATTTGCCCTCATAGACCCATGTGGGGTGAAAGACAGAACATTCAGGTGGATGGGGGGAGGGGGGGCGCTAAGAAGCTTAAACAGTTCTTACTGGGAGAAACCTGTGCAGCTTGCACAAGGTGATCCGGGGACTTAAAGCATTCAGTACATTTCTAAATGGTGCCTGAATGAAGGGTGCCATTGTGGCTGCTGTTGTTGTTGTTTGCAGAGGTAGCCCGGAGTTTGTTTAGAACATATTCTACTGTCAGGGAGCCAGATGGAGGAGGAGTCTCCCTCGCAACTCTCAGTCTGTGCCTAAAAGGAAACAGCAGCCTGTTACCAAAGCCACACTGGCATGTTAGTGCATTACCTGAAAGTGAGTTTGGTTTTGAACACGGCCTGTCCCTGCAGCCCGGTGCCCTGTCGGATGAAAAGGTGATTGTGGTCTCCTTGGAGTGGAGCTTTGTAAACATCGAACACTTCGTTCCCCAGGTGAAGGGACATGCTGTGGAAAGAATGGGAGACTGAAAAGCGTGCCAAGTACAGAGTTATGTCCTGATCGCAGTGTCGCACCCCGCGGCATCCAGCCTGACGTAACACACACCTGCCGTCGGACCATTTGACAATGCGCGCATTGCTCTCTCGGGTTTCATTTCCCTCCTCGTCTCTCTTCGCTCTCCACCGGATTGTGTTCTCCACCTGTGGGGAGAAGATGATGAACATCAGGTGACGTAGGAAAAAAATCTAAATAAATAAAATCTGTCATCCGTCATTTCCAGCCTACACAGACCTTCAGTTTGAGCCTGGTCCGCCCCTCTTCATCCAGCATTTCTTCATCCTCAAATTCATCCTCATAGTACTGAGGATCAAACGGCCTAAAAGGGAAAAAAAGAAAAAGAAAAGACAGCGTCAAAGAACATCTAATTATCTTATCATCAAGTGAAAATAATTTTTCCATCTATCTACACTGCACATGCTCTGACCTGGGCTCCACAGACAGGAAATTGGGCAACTTGACAAAATAAAGGTCGGATCCCAAGTCAGTGCTGACTTTTGGGATCTCTACTTCAATACGAGTTTCAGGCGCAGGCTCCTCTTCTGCCTGCTCCCCCTCCATACCATCCTCTGCATCCTAGACACACACACACGAACAAGTGAACAAACACTGTATAATCCAGTGACCCATGACAATAGGGATCAGCTCAGAGAGGCTTAGAGAAAAAGGGGATTTTGGATCTCGTTTAAAAGTGTGATGAGTGCAGAGAAGAAACAGAGGGTGAGAGAACAGACACATACCAGGGGCTGGCCCGGGGTCGGGGGCTTCTCTGCATCGCTGTCTGAAGAGATGTCGTCCGCTTCTCCGAACAGGTCATCTGCTGCGGCCTTCTTTGCTGCGGAAGAGTACGGATAACTTTCAGTACCATAAAAATATCAAATTCAGCAGCAGAAACAAAAGACAAATCGTTGCTGCTACGTTGACCCAGTAAGGTTAGGGCTTACGTTTTGTTTCAGCATCGCTGTCTGAATCGGAATCGGAGGCGGCTTTCGCTTTGGGTTTCCGTCCTATGAAATCATCTTCGCTGTCACTTCCTTTTGCAGACTCTGAAAAACAAAACCAAGAAATTTTATGTATCATTTTCCACATGTCACGTTTATAGTGGAGGCACGGGACACCCACGCACATCTTACAGTAAAGGAAAACAGTTCATCGCCTCGTGCAAAGAGTCTGTGTGAAAAATTAATCTCATATTAACCTCTGAGTTTTAAGCTCGGGATAAAATGTTCACATATGGCCCCAATCCATGAAATTTACTGTGTAAAAAGATTAACCCTGGAGGCTGGCTCAGCGGCAGATCCTGGGGGTTGTACCTGATTTCCTGTTCCTCGGTCCCTCATCATCAGAATTTTCTCCCTCTTCGTCAGAGTAGTGGCGTTTCTCCTCCTCGTCCTCCGACTGGTCGCTCTTAGCTTCTCCGCCCCACTTCTCATCTTCCGATTGGTTCTCCCTCCCTGAAGCTTCGCCGTCACTGTGCGGTGTGCCCGGGCCCGACTGCGGAGTCCCAGGATCGCTGTGCATACTGAATAAGAACAAACACGGTAAACATATATTCTGATTTTTATTCCTCTGGAAGTCACTTAATCCCCCATCCACTTCCTTATGACAGATCAAAGACCTGATTGCGTTTCTCAAACTGGAAAAGAGATATTTTAGCATCCCGATCTCCGTGCCATCAACGACCTCAGTTAAACAACGGTGAGCTGCAGCCTGTGTGAGACGTCGTACCTTCTGTCTGAGCGAACGCTGCCCCTGTCAGAACGAGGGCTCCCACCGCCAGACATCCCGCTGCCAGCCGGGCTTCCTCCGTCCGACCGGTGACCCCCATCCTCCTCGTCTTCATCCTCATCTCGATGGTCACGGTCCGAGCCGCTGTGCTGCTCTGCGTCGGAGTGATCGTTGTCCCCGCGGTCTGAGCGCATGCTGGCATCTGACTGGTTCCCCGAGCGCTCAGACTGGTTGTCGCTTCCGCTGTGTTGTTCATCCTCACTGTCGTCTCCAAACAGCTCCTGTTACGGAGAAGACACATGAGTAAGTTTAGATGCAGCTCATGACTGTATCGTCACACAGACACACACGCACGCCTCAGTCCTTCTACTGCAGACACAGGACACCTTCATTGTGGGATAAACATACTAGATGGTTTGAGGTAGGTTGAAAGTTTATTAACTCAAGTCAATGCAAGATTAACATTACAAAAGGAATACAATTCTCTGAGGTCACTGTGGAAGTTGAAGCAGTATTTTCAGTGGCTAAATTCACAGCTGAACGTCTGATTAGGCGGCTGTCTGAACGATGTCTGCAAAATGCACCTTATTCATGCTGGGCTTGCCGGCCTCCTGGCCTTCGTACTCGTCATCATCATCATCCCGCTCCCTCTCGCTGTCACTGCCGCTGCCTGAAGCGTTGCTGACAGAACGAGGCCTCTCCTGCTCCGACTCTGAACCAGAGCCGGAGCCAGACTCTGCAAAGGGATAAAGCAGTCCGATTTATTCTAGTTTGTAGTGCCAAACAGATGTTACTCACTCCTCTCACATTACAAATGTGTGACTAAAAAGGTGAAGCTCAGCTTGTTTAAATCCTCACACTCTCCATATACCAGTGTTTTGTTCAAACAAAGCAGGGCTGGGGGCAATCCTGTTTAAAAGAAATAATATTTATTTATTTATAACCACCTTAAGTCTCTTTGGGGTGCAAAATCACAGTATTTCTATGGAAAAAACGAGTGATGCCAGAAAAAGCTTCCAATTATCAACTACTTTTGGACAAAAAGAAGCAAAGATGATATCAGTTAGCTCCTTTTTGTAGACTTTTTAGAAGATTTCAGCATCAACACAACAAAGTGCTTTGATGGTTTTCCACACTTTGTCTCGTACAGACATAATATATTTATGTCTCTGAATAATACCCATATTATTATATTTAGACCTTTTTTGAATAAATACTGTTATATCTGACAGTTGTTTGTATGGGATTATCTGATGCAATCACAATATTATTTATGTACGGCTGGATCAACAGTGAGTACTGAAATACACAGTGTCATACGGTTTTCTCGTACTGTTCTTCTTTCTGTAAAAATCATTTTAGTAGCAAGTCTGTGGAAATTAAAGATTATGTAGGTGAACTTGGGTGCTGCACCAGTTTGTGCGTGAAGACAATTCTAATTTTGACATAAGGGAATTAAGTTTTTTTTAAGATCTTAAAATGTATATTTGCAGTCGTGCTGCTAAAAAAAAACATGAGCGCTGATCACATCCTGCACCACAGCAACAAAACAACTTAAGCCATGGCCCTCCGTCTCAGACACATCACGTGAATCCAAACACTGAAAACCGATTTTTTTTTAAAGGAAAAAGAAAATAAGAAAGAAAAAGAAAAGTGAAACTAGGTGAAGGATAAAAGAACTCCACGATGGTTTCCATTAAAGCCAACGTTTAAAACACATTAACATTATTAACGCCTGCCTCGATATAACGAACATCCGCGAAACGTTCCACACCTCACTCTCGCGTTAAAGCTCCCCTCTGCTACGCAGCTGCGCACAACGCGGCACTCATCTAAATGCACAAACTGATGATTAAACAATATAAGCCACGAGTTTCGGGCAACATTACCTCGCTGGTCGTTGTCGCTGTCCCCATCGCTCCCGAACAATTCATCCATGTCCGCCATTTCTTCCAAACTGTAGTAAAACGTGACCTACAGGATATAATCACTGGGTTTAAGGATTTTGGATCCGGGTCAAGCTGAGCTTAAGTGATGTAATAAATCTAGTCAACCGCCAGGGGGAGACACAACACCTGCTTAGCTTCTAACCAAACAATATTCGTTTATATATACTTTTATGAAAACATCGTTATGTCTCTCCCCTCTCCCCCCCCTCTCTCCCC